CACCAAATTACTTCCCATAAGGGAAGGCATATTAGGGATTTACGAATTTTATGAGTTTTCTGACAATTGACTTAATGCATATAGCCCATTAGTTATGAGGATATCCAATTTCGAACGATTTAGCATGGCAGTTGGTCGACTGCTAAACGGCGCAATGAGATCGAGAAGAACTGTGCAGTGATGTAACAGCACACGCAGACGTGTTTTTCCTTCCAAATTCTCGACGCCTTTAAATGTACCTACTGCCCAATTTGCTGTCCGTCATCATTCCAGTTCCCTGTTCCCATTGTCACCTCCATAGCTTTCGCTTGTGACCATCAGTCTATGGCACTCCTGTTGCCGTTTAATCGGCACGAAAGTGAAGGCTGGCAGCTGGGTGATTATCTTGGCGATATGATGCTAAGTTCTGCTATTACCGACCGTCGTTTCTTTTCAAGGTGCACTTTGGCTGCATTTGCGCTAGTAATTTAGTCCCATTGAGAACAAAACCATTTTGTGGAGACAGTGGGTAGATGAGGTAGATCTACAGGAACTCGGATGGTGCCTCTCCAACTCAATATCGGGTTGGGTGAAATAAATTATGGCCCATCTCCTCAAACTCTCTTCTCGGTGCGGATGAAGACGTTTTGGCTTGGGTTTCATTTTAAGCATGTTAACCCTTTCTTGCGTTTTTTAGAAGTTTTATAAGGTAAACGTTGGTTCTTATTTTATGAGGCCGTAATATGCAAAGTTTTTATGCTCCTTATTTAATACTTCGTTTATACGATTATCCTATGTCCGGTGGTATCTTTAAGGTTCGTCTGGTCGTTCTACTCGTGGGCTGGCCTTCGGGCCAAGGGTAGACCTGGCTCCTCTGTTCGCGCTGGAATACATGTATTCAACACCACTTACTGCATTCTTCTGCCTTGTTTAAAGTCTTAGGACGCTACACTGGTGGCAGCAGAAAGCGAATGCGACATTTTGAAACTACTTCCATCCTTATATATACCGTTTTTTTACATCTGGGATGGGCGAATTCTGTAATTCTTTGCAATTCAAGGTTGAGAACGTTGTCTGTGTTTGGCCCCAATTTGTCGCCACGTTTCTCAAACAGGTAATTAATAACTGAGGCAACCACGACGTGGATCATCTGGAAATAGCTCTGATTTAAAATTTTTAATTTTGCATCCGTGTACAGGTATCGGAGATGACGCTACGATTTTCCTTATATGCGAGACTGTCTGGTTCCGTTTTCCTTATAACAAAATTGTTTGTGAATAGAGCTTCACCATCCACTCCTGAAGGTGATCGATGCTGTCTCGAATCCGGTTGCTGCACCTAACGTAACTCCAGGTCCAGTTGAAGCTACGAAGGAGACCAAGTGTTAGCTGATGGCTGGCGCGGATGACTCGTGGATGTTTTCTTGCAGTATCGAATGTGCTGTGGTGGCCGGCGTGGGAGGTGTGCCAAGGGAGCGCCGAGGAAGTCGCTTAAAAAGGGAGGGGTAGTGCAATATTTTGTTTATGTGACCACCTGGTGTCTGGCGTTTACTCTAATGTTCGTGTGGCCCTTGCCTGCGTGGGTTGGCCTTTGGGCCAAGCTCAGACCTAGTTCCTCTGTTCACCCTAGAATACATGGGTTCAAACGCGCTTAATGCCTTGTTCTACGCGATGAGAGGCTTGGAATTTGCGTCTGGGTTATTGGTCGTTCGCATGTTTTCGTTTTCTCGTGTAGATTGGCTATGTATTTAGAGCAATTTCTCTTCTTTTGTGTGAACGCGCGATTAGTGGGTCAGATTAGTAATAGTCAAGTGTCTTGACATACAAACTTTCATTTTTTTGGTTTTGAAATAATTTTTTGTTACGAGACCAGCATATTCTAAATCAATACGCATTTGCCTACTTAATAGTCTACTGTTATCCATTTTAAATGTAATCTTGTATGATTTCTTGAATACGGCATAATAAATAAACTAGGTGTTACATCAACATTCTGTGCAAAACGACGCTAAAGCGACACAAGGTATGTAATAATAATTTGCCTGTTCTCCAATTGACATTTGAATCCTTTGCCCGGCTTGTACTGAACAATGTTTGACTATATATAGTGTTTCATAAAACATGATAGATCACTTAGTATCTTAATGCATGTGAACTACATGTAATCAATGTTTATTTGTATTGATCACCACGTGCCATTGAAGGTTGATCCACTGGGTGTCGATTTTCAAAGTTTGTTGCGTGGGTAGGGGTTCCTTTGTATATTTATTTTATAGAAAAGCAGGAGTTTTCCTGGTTGCGCAGGTTTCCAGCCATTGTTCAAGAGAGTTACTTACCCATATCTTGTTTGCTGGAGGCGGACTTGAAGTAGGAAGGTGGCCTGTATGCTAGACTTCTTATATTTTTACGTTTTACGATTCTTGTCGCTATCCTCTTCAGTTGTATTTCTTTGCAATGACACTAGATCTTACTTTGTTACGTTATAGTGCAGTGATTTGTATTTCATTTTTGGTAATTGCTTTTAATGTTAATTTTCATCTATTCAGTAGCGTTATTTATAACGAATACTACATTTCCATCCAGCGTGAAGTGTTCACTTCCTACGTTACCTATATTATGGCATCGGAAAAGCGTTCTTCGCGTAATCTTATTGCTGCAGTGGATTTTGGCAGCACCCATGCTTGTACACGGATCTATAATGCCAAACTAGAAAGCGTAATTTGTGTAGTTATTTGATGAACCTGTTTTAAAATAGCTTGCAGAGGCAGTTCTACCTAGCAATACATCGGACCCAGAGGTCTGTTGGAATGTTCTATGTGATTTGCTGCAGTTGGTTATTCGACGTAATATTTTGTCCTAAAATTAATACTGATAATAATTAGGTTCTGGGATCCGTCCTTTCGATGTTAACTGTCTTGGCCTATCGGTGCAGAGGAATACATTTCTGATATGGAATAGGTAGCTTTCCCATCGTGTTAGTATTTTCTAGAGAAACGTCAGTTCCTGTTACACGCCTTTGTACGTGGCAGGAAATCAACGCTTCCGCCTATGCTTCCAGTCGAAATAACTCTCATTTTATTAAGGCAAGTGGATTTTCATCCCTTAAAATAAATTCATTTATTCAAATGAATGCATTTTAATGATACAAAAAACCTTATGTCGTTTTATCTCGATTCGTTTAGTTGTATGTGTTCATATCTTCCAATTTTATTTTTCTTATTTGTAGGCTTTAAACAGGAGCGGACGGATGTTATATAAAGTAGTTCCAAACGCCAAATTCAAGATGATATCGCATTACAAACTCACTTGCATTTTCGCTGTTACTCGTCTTGCGCATATGTTTGATGAGGATCCTGTGGTAAGCAAATAAGTTTTCATCGTTTCAAAGAAACTGTCCCTTCTACCTCATTTTGCCTTAGCTTTGATCGAAGGGCAGTGAGAACCACATTTTCAAATTAGTATTTCATGTATGGTCTCTCTTCTTTGCCGCAAATATTCCAACATCTCGATTCATTGAATTAAATCTTAAGATGGAATAGTGTGTTAGCTAGTAAAGCCAGCTTCCCATATTACTCCTAGAAACTTTGAATGGTAGTTCGTTGGACGTCTAAACTTTCAAATTTTTTGCAGGAGGTTTTTAACTAGTTGGCATTAATTCGATAATGGAAACGATAAAATGGATGATGCGGGATCGAAACTTCTTCCAAAGTGCTTGCGAAGTCTTTCGCCAAATCATTGGATTGCGGATATTAAAGAGCAGTTAAGGGATAGTTATGTTGAGGTATTTTGGTTAAATTCACTAGGGCTTCTTTATTATAATAGAATCCGTAGTTGTTACTAATGCAGGCCGTACACCTTGGAAGCTAAGTGGTTTTAGTTTTGGCCTCTGCGTGAACTCAGCCCTTCCAAGGGCCATGAGGAAAGTCTTGTCAGCACGGCTGATGCATCTATCATACAATTATAATGATAACCCAGAAACTTCATATGGTATTCAGCTTTCAAGTTGCTTGAGCGGCTAAGGCGAATTTCGAGAAGGTAGTCGATGCAATTTCTTGCAGGATCCTTTACGTTTGTACAGGTCTATTGTCACCCCTCCAATATGCTGAAGCTTTCGTCTGTGCATCCCTCTATCTGCCATACCTGTATTCATTTGAGTCGACGGTATATTTGTACTACCAGCAGAGCTTATGCCATAGTAGGCGAGTCATAGAGATAATTAGAGGCTGGAGTCGAGACGATGGGTGCATAGTACTTTCAGTACCACAAGTTTGCTTTGTTTGACTAAGGGTGCTTGTATTTTAATAGTCACTTTTGCCACAATTACTTCCACTAAATAAACATTGATCGACCTGTGATGCATAATCCAAGTGCTACGATTTGTGAGGCCGTTAAAGAATGCAAGAACTTACTTTACCTGTCTGATGGCTAGTAGCACTGAAGATATCTTGAAAGGGAAATAATCGAAATAATCGAGTTTAGCCTAATAGTGGTGAAAGCACCCACGATGACCTATCATTTGCTCCTATACCTACAACTATTGTATCAGTCATTTGCCAAGGCTTCACAATTATTTCCAATTGAATGTAAAACAAGAAAGCATATGGTTTTATAATGAAAGAGGATTAAGGGAAGTTTCTACAAGCAAAGCCGAAGTGGCTGCACTGCAGTGTGTAAAGAACGGAATGCATCTTGTGTATAGTAAATGATTGAGGTGAGCTGACTAACAATAGTGTTCATTCCGGACGAACCTCTTCATAGGTTCTATGATTAATCGCAAAGGTTAAAGATTACAAACGATCAGGTAAGGATGCGAAAGCGAAGACATCCTAATTTGTTGGCATTTGCGTTCGCATGGGATGGCACGGACCTGGAAAAACGTTCAAGAAGGTTGAGTTTTTTTACTTTGCATCATTGCCGAGTTCCCCCAATCGACATCTTTTTAGCGGTCAAATTGCGAATGGTCTGGAAATATAGTTTAGGATGGAGAAGAATCCTCTCGTTAGATAAATCATACGGTTGCTGGCATGAGCTTAATAGTATTATTTGGGTTCAGTTGAGGGCACGGCTATTTTGATAGGCTGTGTCAGGAAGTGCATATCAAAATCATGAATGATCTTGTTGGTTTGCTCGATCTACATTGGAATGCCTGGAAATGTCTCGGCGTCATTTCGAGTACTCCATTGGAAGTTTGTATCGTAAATGCAGAGTAGCAAACTTTTTTACTAACCCATAAGAATCCCTTGATCTAATAAAAGAAATAGGACACGTTCTCTTTGCTCATTTAAATTGCAGTAAATGCCACGTCTGAAGTAGCTTTCATTACTGCTCTAAGTGGATATGAGTTAGATGTATTATGTTTCGGTGTTTGCACAATCACGTCTCCGTTAGAACAGACCTCGATGCAGAGAATAACATGAAGACTGTATACTTGGGTCGTGTCGGGGTTGCTTTACAGAGATATGCAATGCTGAGCCGATATCGATAGTTAGCCCTCCTCTGTTGAATGATTGCTGGACTCCTTTACTATTTTTTATGAATGTGATTCCTCATCTAATTTACTTAGTCCCTACTTCTAAAATTGAGTGCGCCAAGAAGTTTATTAAGGCGTACTCGAGCACCTACTGAAAAGACTTGACCACAACGTAATCACGCAGACTCCCGTAGCTCACAGAACATCGTGCATGTCTACGTGATGTTAATATGAACTTTATGTGCTTGAGTTCATGTCCTTTTATAGTACCAACTTATAATGGGTGCATTATGGCCTTTTTTGAACGCGTTCACTGGGTCAATTGCTTTTTATGGCCTACTACTCATGCTGTCTTTAAGCTTTACGAAAAGTGCCGCGATGGAGAATTTGTCTACGGATGTCTGGAGACTTGGCTGCTGTGGCGTTTAACTGGCGGAAGAGCCTGGTGCACAGACGTCAGCTGCACCAGTGCCACCGGAGCCTTCGATCCCTCCATTGTGAGTCCTCGTTCTCTTCATCTCATGCTTTTTACTTCATCTTTGCTGTCTATTCAATTCTGCATTATCCTACAAATTTTGGTGTTACTTGGGGAACCTATGCCAACATTTTTGAGCCGAAATCTCTCGCCTTGATTTGCTTACTCGCACCTCACTAGTTCAAGCAAGTATCGTGAAGTTTTAGTCCACATTTGAATAAAATTTTCCCTAACAATTTGAAACTTTATTTGCTCATTGACTTACAAGCGATATTTGGCTTTTCGAATCTTTTGGAGACTTGTGAAACTAAGGAATAGAGACGGTTGCTTGGATCATTTAACTGTAATGCCAATTTACTATATAGAGGATATTTTTGCCCCTTCCCTCCCTCTTGTCCTGTTTTGACAGTTTGAATCATACACTGCTTTTCATCAATTGTCGACCAATTTTTTGTACTTTCAGCTTGGTCTTAGTCCAATGATTCTGAATTTTTTGAAAATCTCCCCGAAAAGTTTCCCCGCAATATGTCCCACAAGGTAAATGCTCTGCTCCTTTGCAAATGTATTCCTTTTTACCATTGCAGAAGCGTGATTACAGGCGTTTAGAACCAAAAGCTCCACTCTATCGTTTTATTGGGACGCTGATCGAATGGGGCATTTCAATGAGCTTAGTGCTCCATCCTGATTATGCGTGTTGGGAGATGGACATGCAACTGAATTTAAATCACTTACGTTACATTACTTATAGTAACCATCTAAATTTATCGCATTCCTGATTGAGCGCTGTTGGCTTGTTGCATTTACTTTGGTACAAATTTAGTCGAAGCTTTAAAAGCATGTGAATACTAGGCATTCACTTTGTCGTATCAAAACTTGGACAATCCTAATCCGGTCAGACACCACCTGGTGATTCACATTTATTTTTAAAATCGACCCAAAGTCTGTTTAAAGCGTTTAGGAACTGATTTGAAATTCTTATTGTGTGCTGACTGAAAAGAACCCATAAGAGTTTTACTTTCTCCTGAAAGCACTTTCTTCGGTGAGATTCGTTGCGGCCCCTTGGGGGATCCGGGCGGCGCAGTGAAAGGACGAAGAGTGCGGGTGACCGCTCTAATCGGCGACTCACAGGCTGCTATGTTGGGCGAAGGCTGTCTCCGTGTGGGTGATGCGAAACTCACCCTCGGTACCGGCGCATTCCTCAATGTCAACATCGGTTCCCATGTGATCCCTCCCAATACTGGCAAGTACTCCTGTATGATAATGACCCTATTTTGCAGGGCAAGATTTGTTCTGGAATTGAGTGATTTAGTGTGCCATGCCTTCCTCTTTCTGTTAAGGTGGCGAAGTTCGTGTGCATACATTTACTGCTAGTCAAGCAGTAGAGGCTTTTGAAGCCCAACGTTTTCATGTTGTAGATTTAAGTTATTGAAGTTTTTTACATTCAACTTTGCGTCTGGACGCTTCTTTTGCATCAAATATGGTTCGGTTTTTGCTAGAATCAAACCTCAACATGTTGCTATAATACCGACTTCGACATAGAACACATCGCCTTTTCGTTTATGAATGGCTCCTGATGCGGATTTCGTTTGCGTCAAAATATGATACTAAAGATTTGCTTATGGCGATTCGTATGCGCCATTTGAACAGCTCATCATCCTTACAGTCTCTTACTGTTGATTCTGCAGACATACTCGCTGTGTCTGTGTTAGTAGCAAAGTTAATTTCAAGTGTTTTATGTAAGAGTTTGTCGTACGGTGTGAACGCGGGTCCCTTTCCAGCTTAACCTTTCCAAGTTTGCATAGAAAAACGGCCTTGGAGCTGGGAAATTTCTACTTGAAATTGAGGCTCTCTATAACAAGTTTTCATTTATCAAAAGCGTGTTCCATTCTTTTGGAGTGAGTCCAGATTGCTAGACACTTAATGACATTAAATTTTTTTGAGGTAGGATTTTATCCTGTCGTTGGGTGGGCTCAATCTGCGAGAACTGATACCTCCCTTAGCTGTGAAGCACTACCAGATACGGAACTGAAAAACGTCACTTTTCTAATTGAAGGCTTCAACTCTGACGCGGGCAGCTCATTGAACAAATTAAAAGAGGCCGGTACGTCACACAACGTCGAATTGTTACTTCTGTAAATTGTCTCTTCTTCAATGCTTTCGCTCTTGAGTCGGTGAACGTGGGCTTGAGCCAACGGAATGAACTTCATGCACCTTACAGTGCTTGTTTTATCAGAGGCTTTTAAACTCTACACATAATTCTTATTACTTGAATCAGAAACTTGAGAATCTCTGAATAAGGTGGTGATGAAATATTGCATCCACTGCAACTATTGTTTAATTCCATGCAATACAGGTTAGATTGGCTATGCCATCTGTTTTGTTGCAAAATCTTTTTGGTTCTAGTTTAATTTTGATTTCAGTTTGTTTCCTAACCTGCCTATATTTGAAAAAAAAACATTGGTAAAGTCCGTTGTTTTAAATCTTTAAAACTGTTTTATCACTGTCTGCATTGCAGACCTTGGGTGGTGAATTTCATGCGTACTTCATTGGGATTGTTGGGATAAATTCCACTATTTAGCCCTGGTCCACCGGCAAAACTCTGCCTTTTTACGTATCAAATTACTATTTGCTCTTGTTGTCCTAGTGTTGTGTCTTTAATTACTTGATTCTACTTTTTAGGTTACTTTCAGACGTATGCGGAATTAGAACAGATACTCAACTCTGCTTCGAGTATGTTCTTGAAATCGCTTGCATTGTATTTCGTGAGTATAGTGCCCACTACAATGATTCGGGAACCACATTTACACCTCCCATGTCAGCAGGTATTCAGCGCCTGTCCCTCCTTGTTCTTTTCATCATTGACATCATACTGGCAAGTCACTGGCTGAACAGTTCTCAAAAACGCTTCACTTTTCTGATAGTATTCCTCTCCCTACTCTAACGCGTAATCCATATGCGATATTTTGCAGCATTTTCTGGACGTTCTCATGTAACGACTGCACTCATTGCTTGACGAACACTGATTTGTGCTGTCAGTTCGTCCGCCTGACAAATGATGGAACAGGTGCATGTACGACACCATCCTGATTGTAGTTATCACCTCTTTTCACTGCTGCAGAAGCTATCTTAACGAAGTAGAACTGCTCGTAATTCAAGGCGTTTCAGTGTGAATCGGACCACATTTAAGTACTTATGCACTGATGCTCGTGGATGCTCTATTAAGAAGCGAAACTTCTGTGAATGTTATCGGGTGTGTAGAATGGATGTATTTAAGCATACAGAAAGATGCAAGTGCAGTTTGGAATCGTTTGGGCCAAGCCATAGCAAACTTGTGCGTTTTGGCACAACCAAAACACTTGCGGTGCTTCCGGCTTCCACACCTAACCCAAAATAAAATCGGTTTAGAATTTCTTTTTTCTGCTTTCCAATGAACCTTAATGGTATATTCCTACAATTGAGCGGTTGGAGATTGGCTTGAGCGTTGAATTAGGAAAAGGAAAATAGTATCCACCTTTATCGGTCAACCACTACATTTATGTACTTGCTTCAGCCTCTAGCCGATGATTGCGAAGTCTGGGCTTACAAAATTTTGTCAGAACTGCTGATCCATTTCGATAGACTTCGCGGTCAACATTTAACGGTGCGCCTTCAAGGCACGCGGTTTGATCTCGTAGGGAAAGCTGCCTTAGTATCCATTTTTTTCTCGGCACTTTGTATGCTGATTATTAGGAACCATAGATTTTGTTCTTTAAATGGTCGGAGTAATAGTTGCCGTGGCTATCAGGCTGAAGGGTATCACAGGAAGGCTTACCGCTACTAAGAGCACATCAGCATTATAAAACTATATGCCACAAAGTGTCTGGCTGTGCATGCAAGTACAATTGCTCCATCGTGAATTTGATCATCTGAGGACAGACATAGGCTTTCATCACCCACAAAAGCTTTCATACAGGAAGCTGTTTTATAGATGTGCTGTCTGCTATCCTGATTGGTTATGTGCACTGATTCGGTATTGCCAATGTAGCACACACTTTTGCACTTGAAGATCACGAATCCCAATCTGGCTCAAATGTTATTTGACCATCTTCTAATTACTATCACGCGCATATTCCATTGTTTATGAAAATGGTTTTAGCAGCGTTCTCTTCTAACCTAAACCACCTACCTTTACAGATTCTTTCGATATGGCTGTGGAGACGTCACCAGTCTTTGTGCCATCCTCTTTGGGCCTCCGTAAAGTATCCCTAAAGAAGAGGGCACGTTTGCGTGAAGGTGAGAAGACTCTAACTTTCGTTAACACCAACACCACTCTCACTGAAGGCGGGATATTCGTGGGACTGCCGGAGCCACTTTCACAACGTAATCTTCCCATCTCCACCCGCCATTCCGCCCTCTTTGCCCTCATGGACTCTATTGTCATGTCTGCTCGTCTCCTCTTCGTCAAGGGAGTCAACAAAGGTGAAATAAGTTGGCCTCCATTCATTCCTACCATGTTATTCCGGTCATTGGATACAAATATTTGTTTAAAATCTTCAACTCAGAAGTCTCTTTACTCATTGGTTGCATACCTCACTTTTCAGTTGAAATAAATTTGTGATTGTCTCCTTTGTGTAGCTTCGCACATAATTTACAACCTCTCAGAACCTGAAATTGAATTTTTTAATTGACTTTTAAGTAAAACATTACTCTTGGATAGCGTAGACTTGCTGTAAACAAGCCTTCAGTTCTCATACAAATTAGAACTTCTTTTCTGTCTTTTAAGCGGCCTTACAAATAATGATTGATTCAGTCATTTGAACATTTGAACTTCAAAATGTGCTAAATTTATCAGTTTACCAGTCAAAGAATTGTGACTTCTCGTCTTCGTCAACACCCATGCCATAACATTAACACGAGGAGGCGCTTTCAAATTTTTGACATATAATTTACTGTTCCCAGCTCATCCATGTAAATTGCGTTCCATAAAAAGAAGTTCAAATAGTGAGAACTGGGAGACGATTCTACCTTTTTGAAACTACCCACGCACAATCATTTACCTGCACACTCGATGATTCAGCTTACGTTAACAATCCACTTAGTCCCGTCTGTCATTGGCTTCTGCGTTCTTTGTTTCCGCCTCAGTCAGCTGATCTTTGTGGTACAACGACGGATATCGTCGCAGGGGTTGTCTATGATTGCACAGCCTAATGGAATTCCGCATGCTGTTAATGTGTACTAGCGTTTAACTTCTTGGGATTGTGGCAAAGACGAAGATTCCATAATCTTTTAGAACTGGTCTCTGACATATCAGTGCTGCGCTTGAATGGCAATCTCACTCAATCAGACTGGTTAATGCAACGACTGGCGGATACACTGAATCTGCCAGTGGAGAGGAGCGCAATTTCTGAAACATGTTGTCTCGGTGCCGCCATTGCTGCTGGAGTTGGAGCTGGTAAGTCAGTGATGGCAATGAGTACTTGCTTTGCTGACTGACTTAAAACGTCCTGCCATGTCACGCATTCAAGGTATATGGGATACGTATGCTGAGGCGGTGCAATGTGTGCGAAAGCAAAATGCAAGACTCGCATTGCCTGAAGCCTCCAAAGCTCCACACACGCGCTTTATTCCCAACCCTGCCTCCGTCGCTCATATGCAATCTCGGTATTTTCAGTGGACCACCGTCTGTGCGCATGCTCTGGCTGCCCACGACTCTGAATTAGTCGACAGCGAACCAATAATTTCATTGAACTCCCTTCTCAAGCTCTCCAAGTGATCCAACCCTCCTTTGACCTCCTTTTCTACTCCCACAGGACTTGTTAGTGAATTTTGGAAGCACTTTAGCACTTTGTAATAATTTTCCTCCTTTCATTGTCCGTGGTTTGAATGAAGCGTTTACGTGTGCTAAGACGAAATGCCGTGTACTTTCAACGAATATGAGAAGTTCCATTTCCTTTTGCAATCCGCGTCAGCTTAATGGCTTACTAAGTTTTAACCTTTTCTGACCAATGTCTTCTGCCTTAAGTCATGCTTATAAATTTTTATAACTAAGCTCTTCACTCAGCAATACATTTTTGCCCTAGCATCGTGCTTTTTGTCGCCCTCGGGAAAGACTTAGTGTCCCTAATGGTAGTGACAGAGGTATGAGGCCAACGCCAAATTGAACTCAGTATTTTTACTTGAATTGCGGTTGCGTTCATTTAGCAACATTTGTAGCTGTATACAAAGCTGCTCAAAAAGTCTTCCAATCATCACTGTAAGCTTTGAAGTAGTCAGCAGCAAAAACTTCATAAAAAATTATGAACTCTGTATTCATCTCAATATTATTTTTATTTGAAGTGTCACTCCTTGTCTCACCACGTATAAGACTAACCAAAAGCAGAAGTTAATAATAAGTTGGATGCCTAAGATGGATCGAAGGACAGAAGATTGTGGATTGTTCTCTTTTAATCAAATGCTTTTGAGAAAGGTAGAAAGACTTCAAAAATTGGAAGGAAGAATCACACTGGAGACTGATGCCATATTTCATAAAAGTGGTTGAAGTGCGCCAAACTAAACGCATGTAGGCAGACAAAACGTGTTGGTGTTTTTAGTTAATGAGGACTAATCTATGCTCCCGACTCGGACGATTGGTTAGATTCAGGAGAAATGTTTGAACCCATGACTTGATTCCAGTTGTTGTTATTTTGGGAGCTGTCTGTTGAACTGGTACTCCACTTATTTCGACGGTAATCGTCACCAGTCTTGCCCATGGGTCTGGTTGAGTTATTTGCTCCGTCCCCCATTATATCCTTTGATGAGCCAACGAAACCTGTTACGGAAGTTTGACCACCGACTCCAACCGCATTTCCACCCTGGTTCTGTCCCACCTTAAAGACAATTGTGTATGGACTGTTGCGTATATGCTCCCCCAAGTAGTAAATGTGCACGGTGTGAGGAATGATTGCTGTGATTGGGAAGCTTAGAGCGTAGGAACCATCCTTGTTATCATGTAAGTAAGCGCAAACTTTCTGGTATTGTCCATCTTCTTTCGAAACTGAATAAGTAATAAAGCGCTTGGCGGCTTCACAGTACTTTTTTGAAATCCGAAAATCTAGATTAAATAATTGGCCTAACTTGATTTTCGGAAGTTTGCTTGGAAGAATTTCGGCGTAGTTGTTGTCAGCCAAGCGCTCCATCGATCCAACATCTGATTTTTGAACAGATTCGAAATTGAGCTTTCCAACAAACTTTAGTGGTACGCATTCAGCCAAAAATTCAGTCATATTTTCTATTGCTTGATTAATGCTAAAAATGCATCCGTGGACGTCAAAAACAAGATCTGTGTTTTTGAACTGCTCTGTAGCAAGAATATGTGCAGATGTTTCACGCAGTTCTCTTAAGCGACCTACTAATTCACCAATTTGAGCATTACGGTTTTGAAATTCAGAAGCAGCGGCAGAAGTACTTGCTTGTAACTCCTAATAATTAGTATTCAGAAATGGACAAATCATACCTGAATAAATACGTGCTTCCACTTTTCTAACTGACGTACAATAGAGAGGAAGTACTGCTCAAGGTCTTTGACAGTGTCATCGCACGAATGAGCAAATTCATTAAAATCATCCTCTTTTTTGAGTACGACTTCTTCAGTAGCCACAATTTTTTCGTCAGCCAGTCGAATCACTTCTTCTAGAGCTTTTCGAGCGTATTGTTTTTCACTCATCCCAGTTACCCCTCCAGATTAAAATTACAAATAATATCCCAAAATTCTTGCTTTTGTTAATGCGCAATGTTATACTAATATAAGACCCAAATTTCGTAAAAATCATCATGACACAAACAGACTATCGCTATATAACGAAAGAAGGGTTTTGGTTCATGATCCATTATAGATAATATGTAGAGACACAAAATATATATGCAGTGATACGCGAGATCAAACAAAATAAGCATTTTTCTCAAAAAAACAATTAAGGATTTCTTTTCAATTTTGTTTTTTCAAAGGCTAACTAAAAATTTGTTGCAAATTTTAGTATACATTCAAAATGAAATTATCAAACGTTTTTATGAATAGGCTTCAAAAGGTCAACTTGAAAGATGTGATGCAAATCCAGAAAAAAAGAATGCAATACTGCACATCCTTTTTAAACTTAAGGGCCATCTAAAAAAATGCAAGTTCTGTGAAAGCAAAAAAAATCAATTTTTTGCCTAGCCAAGTATAATCTGACAAGCGCAAGCACTCCACTGTTTACCTTAAGCAATAACTAGTACTGTTTTCATAAAGCACTCCATAAGGCTGCGAGACTGTTTAATAAAACAATCATATTGATTTGTTTGTATTGTTGTACACCAATACGAAAAACCTATGTAGCACAAAGATACAGTAAATATTAAATTAAATACTACAGAATGGTACGGATAATGCATTTACAACTTAAATCACACCTGACTTGCACTCTGAATGCGAAATGACACTGAAATGTGTCACGAATGAATCTTCCTGATCTACATTGTGTCAACAACACAATATTTGGTTTTTAATACTACTGTGTCACAGGATAGGGGTACCTCTAGTCTATGCACAATCCAAATAGCCTTCCCACTTGAAGTAACTTATATTTTCTTTCAGAAAGCTTCCTCGGTGTAGTATTTTAGATTTTCTGGAGCATTATATTAAGATTTACTATTTACTATAAGAACGTATTTATTTAGTGACTTGATGTTTCACAGTAGGTAGAAAAGGCATTACATTGGGCTAAATAACACCATTCTCCGCGAAAAAGGCGTTGAAATTTGGATTAGCCTAAAGGCCATGAAATGCCTTGTTTATGTGACCACCTGACGTTTGGCGGTCACTTTAGGATTTGCCTGGCACTTGTATACGTGGGTTCGCCTTCAGACCATCTCTAGGCGCATTTGCCCTGTCGCCTTCGGAATACATGTATGCAGCTGCACTTATTGAATTCTTATACTGGCTAGGAAGTCTCGGGACGCTACATTGGTGGCAGCGGAAGGCGAATCCGACATTTTTAACGTCTTTTAGCCGAGGTGGAGTCTCTCTCTGCGGCTTGTTCCTCGTTGGTCGTTT